ATTCAAGCCAAAAGTTTTGGTCGGGGGGGGAGGGGGGTCCACTAAACGAGCCGCCACATTACTACAATTCGCTTTGACATGTCTCCATATATTGTTATAAAGAAGTATACTATGCTTTAGTAAACAGCATCGACCAGAGGATTTTCCGTAAGTCCGGCTCGTACTCAAAAAGAAGGACCCGTGCAAGATTATGTAGTGCCGCAAGGCTGTAGCAGTCTGCTATTGACGTGCGCAGGAGACGTCAAACATGAAGGAGTCTAAGGAACCTCGACCAACCTCGCCTGCATTGTTCGTGAGAGTCCAAAGAGTCTAACACTGGAAATTTAAATAGTAAACCCCCAAGTCCTAGAATCCCCAACAACACCAAAGTAATCCAGAAACCTGAAAATATATGCCAAAAAATATGTGTGTATATATATATGATATGTATATATATATACATATATATATATTGTTTTGTTCTTCCCTTCTGCTACATTCAGAGGAGTACGCTGTCTAATTGAAAAGTGCAAACTAGCATTCTGCACTCAGGAAGGAAAGCGCCTGCAAATTTGCAGTACACGCCTCTAAATCCGGGGCAGAAAAATCTGCAACACCCAGCCTTAGCGCAAGCATCGCTGCTGGATTGGGGTGTAGGTGGAGATTGACTCGGCGCCGTAGAAGGGAAAACCGTCTCCAACCCCTGCAAAATCAAAGGGCATCACCCAAGCTCAAAAGGTTCGAAGACAACCAGGCAACCGTGCTATCGCTGCCAGAACAGCAAGCACGAGTCAGCGCAACTGGCCGGGAGGCAAACTGCAGGCCGCACGCCCCTCACAACAAATTCAAACAGCTGTGCCTACTAACAGCCCGTAGCCACTAAGGCCACGATGCACGACATAGGGCTGCAATCGATAATGGTCGTGCCGTGTTTTCTCTTCATAGTCCATGGTTGACTGAACCGAACACTCGAAGATTTTCTCGACCTCCCTCACGGTCTCGTGGACACAAAGGAAGTACTTGTTGTCGAAGGAGTCGTTGGCCTCGGACTTGTTGAACTTCTCTTCCGCACCCCAGCTGTGCTTAAGCACACCATCGGTCTTGAACGGGATCTTGGCCAGGTCGGCCAGCATCTCCCCGCCCAAAGCCTGCACTGGGGTGTCCGAGTACGTGGGCATCACCATGAGTATCTCATTGACGATGTCCGCCTTCGTCTTGCCGGCATCGTTATTCTGGGAGCGGTAGCTTCTGCTGATCCGCATAGCGGGCGCTGTCCGAGCACTTCTTGCCCGTGGCCTCCTCCACACGAGGCCTCGTGGCCATCCAGCTGCGGTCGGTGTCGCGGTCCGTCTCCGCGACGCGTCGCTTCAGGTCGTCGTCAGAAACTATGGCCGCGTTCTTAAGCGTGTCGTAGTGGGGAGCCCTCTGGTCGGCATCCTTCCCGTAGTCATTCTTCGCGCTGTCGAAGAACATCAATCGGATGTTGGATCTTCTTTTCTGAGAGGTCCAGGCTGCACTCGTCGCTCGTGCGGAACTTCTGGTCGGCATGGCGTGCCCACACTTCCCATCTGGGCCATGGCATTTGGGCACTGGGGCGTGGGTCCTCCAGATTCCTGACTACTGGCGATTCGGGCCCTGAGTATATGTATGCATATATATATATATACATATATATATACATACATATAGACATTTATATTTATATATATATACACACATACAGTAACAAACACTATTCCTTAGGGTCCCTGTATCATAAACTCTGATAGAATCTTTTTGTAAACCAAGATAGCCCAAAGCCCTTCTTTACGTATTACACCCAAGACTGCACTAAACCCTAAAGACCACCCTCATCTGGCTAGTCCGAAGTGTGAGAGCATAAGGACCACCCTGCAACGCCGGCTCGTCCTTGCGAAGTGGGCCCTAAACCCACCTCGAGCCGGCATGCCTCGCCTGGAGTGTCCGAGCGTGAGCGCCACTAAGCCCTAAAAACCCAGAGCCCTAGACGCCCTAGACCCCTAGACCCCTAAACCCTAAACCTTAAACCCTAAACCTTCCCAGGCGGCACCAGCAAGGGCATTTTCCTTCTTGCGGCTGATCTTCCGCCTCCAGGGCCGAAGCTCGTCTTCCGGAGAGCTTTCTGCATTGGGATATGGGCAGGGTCCCTTTAAAGGGATCTAAAAGGGTTTCAAAAGCGTTTCAAGAAGGGTACTGCAAGGGTTCAAGAGGGTTTTAGGGTCGCTGTTTTATAAGGGTGCCGAACTATTTTCGGGACCTAAGAATGCATTTAATTTAGAGAACTACCGATGTGGCATTGCTATTAGTAGCACTAGGATTATGATTATGATGATTCTTACTCCTGTTATGTAGTTTACGGTAATATAAGATCAGAGAATGTTGTTGAATGTTGTGTCATGTGATGTACCATAGTATAACTGTATATATATACGTATATATATATATGTAAATATATATATATATATACATATATACATATGTATTTATATGCCAACTTATTTCTATTGAAGAGTGTGAAAGATGGAAGCCAGCATCATAAAGTCAACAATTATCGTGGAGTCTACTGTGGTATCTCGGAAGAAAGGTCACAATGATTATGTTATGTCTCGTTGGCTTGGGATGGCTTGGGGGCAGAGCTGCGAGATGGCATAGGCTGTACACGATTTAGCCCTAAGCCCCAGCCACCCAGAACCCCAAAACCCTAAGGCTAAACAGTCTGAAGTGATGCTTGCTGCTTGCATGTGGAGAGCAAACCCTGCAACATTTCTTCTCCCATTTTTGCCAGCCTAGAGGCTTGATTTAGGCACAACTCAGCCCATGCTGAAAAGGGTGGCTTCGCCAGACGGTCAAGTTACTAAAGCTTCTGCGGGAGCCGACTCCAAGTGGGGTGCGAAGCCTGTTTGTTCCAACAGGGTAATTCTATTCTATTATAATATATTCGATTATAATATATTATATTATAATGTATAAGGTAGCTGATTCAGGATCGAGGGTTCAGACTCTTGCAGCTCTCGCAACTCGGAACTCCAGGCCAGGGTTCGCATGCACACGGCTACCTTGAACTAGTTCGAGCCCTATGCAGAAAACCTCTTTGTCACGACAAGAGAAACCCTATTGGCCCTATTGCAAAGCAAGGCAGCGCGATGCTGTGATTCTCCGCATCTTCGGTTCCCCGGATCCGCGGCAGCGCCTGGGCCAAGAACTACTGCTAAGGCTAACGCTGTTCAGTTTCAGTTTTTTTTCCCGACTGATTTGGCTAATTTCAGGTATTCTCCTCTTTTGTTTAACCCTGCTGCGATGCAGCGTTCCTGATGAAGCTCTTGTTGATCAGAACTATGATTATGGCGATAATGATGGTGGTGGTTGATGTGGTGGCTGTAAGATGGCTAAAAGTTTGATTCCGCTCTCTTCGATAGGATGCCAGCCCTCGGTTGTTTTATTGGCACTCGTGTGCCTCCAGCCCTCAGCTTCGCCGTATATCGTCGCTTCAGCAGTGCGGAAATCACCGGCAGTAAACTGAGACGTGCAAGTGTATGTTATGGAACCATTCAAGGTTTCTTCTCCTTCTTGGTGGGGTCCGGTCGACGAAGCATGTGAACCAGCCCTTCAATTGCTGCTGCGTCACTAGTAGGCGCGACGAGATAGCGTACTTCCTTGCACCTAGCTGTCTCGCACCCGAAGGATTGATGGACTTGGTGGTGCCGACACTCTGACAAGCAAGCTTGTGCCAAGCTTGCAATGAGGACATGCAATGCATTCGTTGGGAGAAAAGAGAGCCTGATGTACCTTTCAGGGCAGAAAAGTACCTGAACCTTTACGGCTCTATCTAGCAAGCCGATAAATTCAATAGCCGGCTCATTCACCCCGGGCAAGAGTCGGCATTCCACGGTATGGCATGTGCTCATGCCTGCTTCGCTTCCGGGGGAGTGGAAAGCCATGGGACCGCTCTTGCAAACGGTTTCAATTTGGGTTTAATTCGGTCTATAGGGGGAGGTCCTGGGTGGAAATGAAGCAACAGCCGTATCAACCATGGAAGGCTCTCAGCCACATATGTAACATCCAGCCTTGCTCAGTTTCGCCGAGGCAGGCATGAAAGGGCATTGTGTGTATTCGGAATTTAGCTCACCCAAAGACGCTTCCGCAGACAAGACGAACTCGCTAGGCCATCATTGCGCCGCCGACCATACCATCAGCCGCGGCCAAGCTGACATGGTACTATGAATACCTTCTGTATCAAACTGCTCCGTTCCTTTGTATCAGGATGTGGACTACACCTTTGGGCAAGTATCTTTCGTTGATGCGAAGGCTCGGATCTGCACGAAATCAGTGCAGCTGTCGCAGTCAAGAGGGTTGAAGAGCGGAGGGCAGCTGATGAAACCACGAGGAGTCCAATCGAGCCCGACCTCAGGCTGATGGCTGTGTAAGCTTTGAATCCATTACGTGCCACGAAACCTTGGCAACATCTTTGCTGGAGACTGCTAGCTGCTAGCACTTCTCACGCAGTTCAGCCCAGCCCAACATCCACGCCAGGTTGATTATGGAGGCAACTGTGGCCGCGGGGCTGCACCTGCTACATGTTTGCTTCACAGGACTCGATTTCTTGAAGCCGAGGCCCTCACCGACTCTCATATCCCAATATCATAATGTCCCCGAGGAAAACTCTCACAAAGTCGCTATGTGAGAGAATCTTCCTTCACTGAGGGCTTGTGGCGAGTCCATAAGCCTCTGGGTAAGGCAACATCTCCTCGGCCGTCGGGCCCTTTGCCGTGGACAAGGGGTTGATTCAGATCCCGCACGACGAGTTGCTTGGATCTGAGAGCATCCCATAAACGAGCATGGTAGTGAGCAGGTCAGGAGCATCCCTATCAGACCCCTTACCAAGGGCAGGCAACTGCATCAAATCAAGCATTTTGAATGTTTCGGATTTCGGATGACTTCGGGTGCCTGCAGACTAGGAATCTCGGAGTGTGAAAGACATACCTTCCCGACCTTGGCAGCTAATGATACGTTTAGGGCTTCGGGCCTAGGGTAATTAACACACTTGGCATTGAAAACTTTACTGCCAAGTACAGCACACGTTGGTGTCCAGCTCCAACCAGTACCTGCCAGTTTGTCCTGATTCCTGAATTTGTCCGAGCGTGAGTGTCAAAACCCTGAACCCGAGTAGCTCACCTGAGGAAATCTCATGTCGTCAAGATTCACAACACCAACACAGGGGCCCTTCTGAAGTCCACTGTGCATCTTTCAGAGACTCGGCTTTTCGTAATCATCCCTGTAAGGGTTATTGGAAGGGTGGCCATGAGGGTGGTCATAAGTGTTAAGGATACTACAAGGCAGCCGCTAAAGGGCTTAGGGAGTTTAGTGCAGGGTGTTGTATAAGAGCCGTAGAGTCGGTGGAGGCGTGGATTTGTTGGTTGAGGTTGCTTAGGATATGTTCTTGGCCAAGCTTCGTAGCCTTGATTTTTGTTCGGATTTTGTCTGGTCTTTCGGCAGGAGGGCTCGCAGTGTTCAGTTCAGTGTTTGAGGTGGATGGCCGCAGAGCGAGGATTCGGGTTATCGAAGGCTTCCCTAGACCCCTGAACTTCTGAGCCATAACTTTGGGGGTCCTGGCAGGGCCTCGGGATGTCGGGCAGTAGGCCTCACAGCAGCTTGGACCTCGCAGGCACAACGGCTTGTAGATACAGAGGCATACCCAGGAGTCCGTGGTTGCGTCGCCCGGGGTGGCTACAACAGAAACTCTGGAATCATGCCGCTGTGCTGTGTAGACTCTGGAGACTTGCCTCGCTCCGTGCTTAACTCATCCGACACGGCGTGTCATAACGTACCCAGGACGAAAAGACTGCGCTGGTCGAGGGTGAAGTGAAGATTGCTGGTGTGCCTTGCCTTGACTTTATTCAGGGGCGCCAGGTTGCATTGAGATAGAGCTGCCTAATTATCATACTGTCACATGTTCTTACGTCGCTTGATTTGCTTGTTCGAACTTCGAGGGGAAGGCTTGAATGCTCGCGACAGGCCGTGTGTGAATGGTGGATGTCGTTCGATCCAGACCGTCGCATGCTCCGTACTAAGACCTTGAACCCTGAACCGAAAGCTTTGTAAGGCATGCCATGCGGGAGCCACGACAAGCATGTGGACCCGCAACCCTAACCGGCCCTAACCTCACAATCTCACAATGAGGTCGGAATACTTACTAATAGCATTCGCTGAAACCCAGTATAAGTATGGCAGAATACAACCCGAAAGACCATTCAAACTTTTGAGCCCTATATCAGGCCCCATTGAAAGCAACCTTGAAGGAACCCTTTGCTCAGAAGCTACTTTCAGGTTGATGCCGCAGGTCCCAGGCTCCGGCGCCCCCGTCGATCTTGACTTCTCTGCCCTTTGGCAGAGCAAGCACCTGTGAGGGTTTTGGATTTAGGGTGAGGGGGGGGGGCTCTTGAAACGGAGGGTCCCTTGATTCAGGGTCCTGAGTATGAGGGCCTCATGATTCAGGGTCTGTACAAGCTTTCAGTGCGTTGCGAGATTCCTGCTTCGGGTTGCTGGTTTAGCCTCGTAGCCAGGCTTTAGGAAGAGAGCTGAGTTATTTTGCACCCTACCTATCTATCTATCTATCTATCTATATATATATATAGTTTCTGTACTCTCCGGCACCTGCCGCCCAAAAGGACTGGCCTTCACACCCTGCGCACGCAGCCCCTGCACCCAACACCTCCAAAGCCCCAAAGCCCCACACCCGAAACCCTTCATCCGCTATGCAAAACCTGAAACCCGATATAAAGCTCGGAGCAGAAAGACATCGAGGACCTGAACCCGAAACCTTAGAGTGAAAATCCCAGTCGAGGGACATGGGGTTTCGGGCTTTGGGGTTTTGGAGTTTTGGGTCCAGGGCTTCGGGTTGATGTTGTTTTGCACAGGGGAACTGTAGAGCTGTTTGGCATGAGAAGCTTATCCGCGTTTTGACGGTTCACGACTGTAATCCCCAAAACCTGGAAAATCGCCATGTCGCAAGCCGATGGTTCAGACACGGGGTTAACTTTCCTAGGTGCTACGGCAGTCTACAGCAGAAAATGAGGAGCTTCAGCGATAATGGTCACATATGTTTGTGTTAGAAGCAGAAAGATTGTGCAGCCGATCTGAAGCACCCCCGTTGCATTGCCCATCGAGCTTCGCCCTGAACTCAGCCCCTAAACCGAAGGAGCCAAGCCCTGCACCATCACATCATGAAGTTCTGTTGCGCAAGCGAAGAACATCTCACCACCAACAGTCCCACAGCCTTTTCTCTAGACCCTCGCTCAGCATCCCGGGAACGTCGCATGCCTATGTGGCTTTGCTGGCTCCTGCCATGCTCCATGGTTACTGGAAACTGGGTGGAGCTTACACCGCCGTCAGGTGGTCCGAGAAGACTGAGCAGGATGACAGCAGTGTGGGACCCTGTGGAGAAGGGATTGTTCTTGTTTGGAGGCCTGGGGCAAGGACCTGCTGGAGTCAGTGGATGGGGCTACCAAAATTACCTGTACTTTTACAGTGTCACCTTGAACCTTTGGAGCATCAAGTCGAGCGATGGGGCGCCAGTGGAGCGCTTCCTCCACACAGCGGTGCTGGATCCGGTGGACAGGGTGATGTACGTCTTTGGAGGTCAGAACGAGAGCGTTAACAGCAATGATGCGCAGTCGACCTTCACGGACTTATTTGCATATGATGTGGCTAATGACACTTGGACGGAGCTGACTGGCAGCAAGCCACGCTCCAGGCACACCGCAGTCTGGGACAGTAACTCACACCTCATGATCGTTTTCGGTGGCATTTCTGACGATCCCACCTTTAAATACGATGACGTGGAAGTGTATGATCCAGGCAACGACACCTGGACCTCCCCTGCTGTGTTAGGGGCGAAGCCAGTTGGGCGCTTCGGGCATATGGCAGTCTGGGATTCGGTTTCGAGCGTGATGCTGATGTGCTGTGGACGTGCAGGGAAAAACGTTTTCATTCCATTTACCAACATGACAGACCAGACTTACAACGATTTGTGGAGCTTCTCCACACAGTATGGATGGACACTATTGGTGGCATCTGGCAGTTTTACCCAGCGAAGGGACGCTGGGGCAATTTGGGATTCAAGTGCTCGCAAGTTCATTGGATACGGAGGTCAGTATGAAGCGGACGGAAGCATGAACACACTGTTCATCTACTCGAATGATTCTGACTGGAGCGAGTATGCACTCAGCGGGCCCGTTGGCAGCTACGGGCATGCAATATGCTGGGATCCTGATGAAAATAAAATCTATTTATATGGAGGGTTAAGTGGCAGCGGCACCCTTGATTCATTCTGGCGGTTGGACTCAGTTGTAACATCAACCTCAAGCAGTGCCACCGCCACGACATCAACTCTGAGTGTGACCTCTAGCTTCACTACTTCATCCAGCGCGACTCTCAGTTCCACAAGCACCAGCAAAACGTCCAGTCGCACGACATCCACCACGATTTCACGAACTTCCACTTCAATAGTCTCCCTGACATCCTCGTCGACTACGCAGACCCGATCCTCCACCCACAGCACCACAGTCACCACTTCTGGCACGATTTCCAGCTCCACGACGAGAACCCAAACTTTTATCTCCACATCTACCCTGTCCACCTCGCAAACGTTGACCACCACTTCGGGGAGCAGCAGCACCACGACCACTTCGCAAACTGTGACGACCAAGTCGAGCAGCAGCAGCAGCAGCAGCACCACCACCACCACCACCACCACCACCACCACGAGATCAAGGTCAAGCACTGGCCTCGCAAGCTCCGCAACTGTCTCCAGCTCAACATCAACTAGCAGCTGGACTCTTACCAGCAAAGCCTCAACTTCGACTTCGACGATGCCACAAGCAAGCTCCACAAGTGCAAGTTCTACGTCGTCGGCGACAAGCAGTTCAAGTTCGTCCACAACCCTCTCAACGTCATTCACGACAAGGAGTGAGACATCCACCGAAACTTCGATCCAGAAAGGTGCCGGAACAAGCAGCACGTCATCAAGCTCATCAGGAACAACGCCTCCCCCTACATCTACCCCAGCACTTACTTCATCTTCTACCTCAACATCATTGACCACCAGCTCGACATGGGATGAAACCGGCGACGATGTGGCAGTGAGGCTTACAGAAGTTGAAGAAGCGGAACAAAATACTTTGCAGGGCCTTCTGTCCCTCCTCGAAGATACATCGGTGACTGCGAATGCCTCGAATGCTTCCAGTCGAGTTCTCGGCTATGTCTTCGCAGAGGAGAAAGAAGCCGCGGTGCACGCGTGGGCCTTGGACCCTTCCTCTTCGGATGCCCCGCTGACATCTGTACTGACTTTGGATGCAGACACCGTGGGCCTGGCTGTGCCTCCAGAGTCACTGGCGCAAGTAGCAGAGCTGGCAGCCGCAGTCGGTGGCGACCAAGAGGTAGTCTTGCTCACCATCTCTACTTTTCCGGCCACTTCTGCACTCAATGTGAGCCAGCGCGCCCTCGTCGCAGACCCGGTGCGCGTGAACTTCCGAACAGCGGGAGGCGAGCGCCTTCGGGTGCAGGGATTAAGGCAGCCGCTGGAGTTGAGGTTTCAGTATGTGGCGGCTGCCGAGGGCGGCCGTCAACTCCAGTGTGCATACTGGGACGAAGAGAATAGCCGCTGGTCACGAGATGGCGTTCAAGGTTTCGAGGGCGCGGACGAGTTTGTTTGCCTGGCCAACCACTTGACCCTCTTCGGCGTTGTCCTGGATGCAGTGGCGCAGGCTTTCCGCTGCTCCACAGCATCGGACGTTTTGTCAGCAGCCAGCTTCCAGAATATGAGCAGGACTCAGTGGCTTGCCTACCCCGCATCGATCTTCTCCTTCGTCTTTCTTGGGATTTTCCTGGCTGCCAGAGCTTTGCCTCAGTCGGATGTGGAAGCCGTCCTTCTGGTGAACCGCGCCGAGAAGAAGGTGACATGGGAACCGGATTGGCGGAAGCACCGTCACAGTGCATTCTGCTGTTGGTGTCTTGCCAAGGCCTGCGACGGACTCGCCTGGCTAGTAAGCACTATCTTCGAGTTCCAGGCCACCGATTCGCTCGCTGAGTTCGCGAAGCCACAGGAGGCTACTGTGAGCCGATGCATAGCATTGCTTCACTCGCAGAAAGCAGGAGCTGACCGGAAAAGCATCTCGGCAGTGCTGACATCGAGCGGCGAGCGAAAGCTCCGTCGTCGGGGTGCTTCAGAGAGTCCGCACAGCATTCAGGGGGAGCAGAGCACCACCTCCAAAGCAACGCAGGCCACTGCGGCGATGGTCCAGTCTTGGGATGTACACTCTCATGGTGTCTGGGCGGTGAATCGGTACCTGTCCGCCTCGTGGTGTCGACGGGTGATGATTCTGTTGCCTTGCTTACACCCTTGGGTGACGCTTGCACTGCTGAGCCTCTTCAAGTCTCATACGATGCGAGCTGCCTTGGTCGTTTTGAAACTTTCAACATCTGCATTTGCAAATGCCCTTTTCTTCACTACTGCAGCACAGGGGGCAGACTCCGACGACGAATGCGCAGAACAAGCCTCGCTGGGTCAGAAGCTCTTGACAGCTACTGTCGTGGGCATTTCCTCTGCGTGCATGAGTGATGTTCTAGTCATCTGTCTTGCCCTGCTTCAGCGACGCAGAATTCTAATCAGGGAACTCTGGACGGAGGAGATGAAGGCCAGGCAATTACGTCGCTGGCGCATCAGGCAACGACTCTTCTGGTGTGTTTGGACTCTGGCTTTTGTCTTCTCTATCCTCTACATATTGTCCTTCCTTGCCAATGTAAGTGAAGCAGATGCTGCAAAATGGCTGGAAAGCAGTGGGGTCAGTTTTCTGCAAGACCTTTTGCTCAAACCCGCGCTGATGGCCATGGGCTATGCGACGCTAACAACCTTCGTTTTGTGCTGCTCTCCGCGTGTAAAAGAGGCGATATTGATTCAGTGGATACAAGCAGATGAGGATGTCGACGAAAGCGTGGCAGAGGACACCGTTAGTGTAAGTCTTAGTTTTCCTGCTGGAGATTCGATTGGTGTGGATGAGACCGAGTCAGATCATGAAGAACTCGTCCAGTCAACGTTTCTTGGAGATCCGGCTGGTTTGGATGAGACCGAGTCAGATCATGCGGGAATCGTTCAAACAACGTTTTTCGGAGATTCGGATGGTTCGCAGGAGACCGAATCAGCTCATGAAGAGATCGTGAAAAAAACCTGGCTTTGATGCTCTGAGGGCTTGCAGCCCTTGACTCGCGCTGAGTTGGAGACTCCGTGCTTGACGTTGCAGAAAGGTGTAGATAGTTCCATCCAGAGCACACTGCCGGCCTGATCCCTGGTGGCAGCAGGGACAGAGAGGGGCTTGGCCTTTAAGATCGGAGATGTTTCACCCTGCAGCAACTGCAAAGCAGATGCGAGTCGCCCGAACAGCCTCGTGCGGATTTGATCCGAGTTGCGAGGGTCCGAAACATGGTGTCGTCCTGAGCCCAGTGCCCCAGGCCACTCAGGGAAGTGTCACTGGCAGCCTGCTGCCCTCCGGCCAGTCCCTGGGCAGTACTGTTAAGTTCAGAGTTCAAGAGGGGGTCGGTTGGGGGCTTAGGGGGTTGAGCCTTTTAGGACTTGAGATATCATGCAAGGCTCTTGGACCAACTCTCAATCCCTGGCAGCGGAGAGATGATCGAGGCCACGCTGTTGGATGCAGGCAGGGAGCATTCGAACTCATACACTAATACGTCTAATATAGGTGCCTTAACAATTACCTATACTAATTCTTGGGGTTCCTGATAAAACGTAGTTATATCATAATATACCCCAAAACCCAACATGCCCTAAAACCCTATTCTGATTGTTAAGGCCCCTACATTGGGTGCCCCAGGCTCAGCTGCTGCTTCATGATCTCGGCGGTAGTCCAGATAGAGATCATTGATCATGGAGGGCTTACGTCTCACTTGCCAGGCCACTCGAAGACCCCTCAACCCTAAACCCTCCAAACCATCGCCACAACACCAAAACCTCACCCGGCCTTGCAGCTGTCAGATGCTGAGCAGATAAAACAACAGGGACCTTAATAATACAGTATTCTGATAACGGAACCCTAAGGACTCGTATTGGAAAATGTGCAGGCTTCGATCTGCATCATTTTTCGAAGTGACTCAGACCAACAGCCCTTGCAGTGGTAAGCGTGCACCG